AAAATGGCTCCGAAATCACCCCCAATTTTTACTACATTTTATGATACATATTGATGCCCTTATGCTATGTAGAAAGTTTGAGTTGATTCCGACTTCAATTTTTCGAGTTACGGCCATTCTAAAAAATGGGCCAAAATCTGAAAAAATCCCTGTACTATAGCCCATGGTTTTTTCCAAAAAATGGCTCCGAAATCGCCCCCAATTTTTATTACATTTTCTGATACATATTGATGTCTTTATGCTATGTAGACAGTTTGAGGCGATTCCGACTTCAATTTTTCAAATTACGACCATTTAAAAGAATGGGCCAAAATCTGAAAAAATCCCTGTACTATAGCCCATGGTTTTTTTCCAAAAATGGCTCCGAAATCACCCCCAATTTTTATTACATTTTCTGATACATATTGATGTCCTTATACTATGTAGAAAGTTTGAGGTGATTCCGACTTCAATTTTTCAAATTACGACCATTTTAAAAAATGGGCCAAAATCTAAAAAAATCCCTGTACTATAGCCCATGGTTTTTTCAGAAAAATGGCTCCGAAATCACCCCCAATTTTTATTACATTTTATGATACATATTGATGCCCTTATGCTATGTAGAAAGTTTGAGTTGATTCCGACTTCAATTTTTCGAGTTACGGGCATTTTAAAAAATGGGCCAAAATCTGAAAAAATCCCTGTACTATAGCCCATGGTTTTTCCAAAAATGGCTCCAAAATCACACCCAATTTTTATTACATTTTCTGATACATATTGATGCCCTTATGCTATGTAGAAAGTTTGAGTTGATTCCGACTTCAATTTTTCGAGTTACGGGCATTTTAAAAAATGGGCCAAAATCTGAAAAAATCCCTGTACTATAGCCCATGGTTTTTCCAAAAATGGCTCCACTTTACCTCATCAAGTCTCCATAAACTAATTCCAAACATTCGACTAACGAGTCAAGTACCAGCTCAACTTGATAATTACTAAAAGAAACAAAAACAAATCTTTTAATTATTGATTTTATTAATAGCTATTGGTAGTTATTAATAGTTATTAATGGTTATTAACAGTTATATGACGAACTTCACTCCAGTCTGTGCTATTAGTAACAATTCTTTACCAACTAAATGTCCTGAAATGTAACATAATTCACCATCCACTACCAGCACTGAACTACAAAAATTCAAAAATTTAAAAATTAAATTTCAAACTAACAAACTAAAAATTAATAACCAGTACTCTTGCTATTAATAACTAGCTCCACCCCCACCTGGTAGTATATGATAGAGATGAAGATATGGTCGGTATTAGATTGGAAAGGGTTAAAAAAGCTCCTCGTAGCAATATAATTTGATCTAAAAAATGATGACACCCACGGGATGGGTAGCAAAATAAAATATCCTAAAAAACAAATAATAATAATAGTAATAATAATAATAATAATAATAATAATAATAATAATAATAATAATAATAATAATAATAATAATAAATATATTCTCTCCTACTTTATCAGGTGGGTCGTCTTCTTTGGTGTCGAGGGTTAAAAACAGGATGAGAGGAGGAGGAGGAGAGAAGGAGCTGGAGGGAGGAGTGGGTGAGGTTGTGTCTGAGAAATAAGTGGGTGGGGGAGAGAGGGTGTGGCTTGGAGGAGAACTAGGAGTGCACTTGTATACGTCAAATATAACCTGAAAAATAAATAATAAATAAATAAATAATGAATAATAATAAAATAAAGTAATTATTAACTATATAAATAATTAGACCATTAGGTAATTCAAACTTCAAATTGAAGCAATATGATGATAATTTTAATTAAAGTGTGTCACGACAGTTATTCTAATTAAAGAGCATTTATTCACCTCATTGGTTAGCTTAGATAAGGACTCTTCAATTGATCGCATCGTGACATCATCACCATTCACTCTAGCTATTTCAT